GTGGAGAAGAAAAGTGTAGTAGTTAGTAAAACCCAGAACTGACAGTTGGATGTGCCAATGAGATATTCCATGTCATGTCACGTCATGTTTAATATATTAACTGGGATTGATCGGAAAGTGGGGGGATTGTCTTGGGAATCACTCGGGCTCGCTTTTCCAGGATTGTGATTTTTGGGTTCAGGGTTCGTTTTTGCTCCTCCGGGATTGTTATCAGCGGGTGGTGAGCAATTGTACTCTCCATCACTCACATGTATATATATGTGATGTGTGTGTATATATATATATATATAGTTGTTATCATTATTATTCTTATCATTTTAATTTTATTTTACTCTAATTATTCAATTGTTCTTAACCTACAAGTCTCCTGACCTTCACCCCTCCAATTCTCTCTCCCTGATTCCCTGGGTGGAGGGGGAAGGGGGGTTGTGCCCAGTTGCTGGCTGTGTCTTTCTTTGGCTGCCAGCTAAGTTAAACTATTACAATATGAATAAATATTGCTGAGAATCCTGTACCATAAAATAGAAAGAAGGCAGAAGACTCTATCCTGCAACTTGTCAGTTCAGTATTAGAGCTTTCACAAAGAATAAACCAATAAGGAAGTAATAATGTATGAAGGGGAGGTTGATTGATTATATCTACGGCTGTTTTCCTGAAGTACTACTACTTTTAAATCTGGGGAGGCAGCTCTTGCCCAGTATGCCTAAGAGAGTTTTAACTCAACATCAGCATTTGTGTTCATATATATTCATACATCCTTGGAACTGTCCCGTGTTTGGCAGCTTCATTGTTGTGGAGTGAAGAACTACAGTGACTGGACAACCACGCAGTGGTTTAATTCCACCGGTAACAACAGTGTCCCTCTGAGTTGCTGCCAGCAAGATATGAAGAACTGCACAGGGCGCCTGGATCAGCCACAGGAGCTGAATACACGGGTGAGGACATAGTTTTCACAGCTGGGCCATGATCCTTCTCAACCAAACAGAATCAATGAGGAAAGCACTTCAGGCAGGGTTTAGGGATAACTTCATCCAATTCTTTTCAGCACTTTGTCCCCTGAAAACTTTTTGTCCCCATGGTTTTCCTCTAGCTAACTTCCTTCTGATGGCTTGGAACTGGAAGAGGGGAGGTTTCAATTAGATATTGGGAAGAAATTGTTTGGTGTGAGGGTGGTGAGCCAGTGTCCCAGGTTGGCCAGAGAAGCTGTGGCTGCTCCTCCCTGGAAGTGTTCTCGGCCAGGTTGGATGAGGCTTTGAGCAACCTGGTCTAGTGGAAGGTGTCCCTGCTGCTGGCAGGGGGGTTGGAACTGGATGAGCTTTAAGGTCCCTGCCAACCCAGACCATTCTATGATTCTATAATTCAATAAAAGCTCCTAGTTGATGAAGGAGGGGCACTGATCTGGATGTTTGGTCTTGTCTGTCTGCTGGTAGCAGTCCTCCATTTCGTGTTGTTACCGAATCAAGATGAGCAGGCCAGAACCCTACCTATGGGCACATAGTTATTCAAACAGATCTGGAGTAGGGGGAGAGACTCTTCTAGGATTGACTGTGAATCTGGAGAATTGCATACCAGGTCCTTCAGTCTGGGGCACAAACACTTGCATTGAATTTTATAGATAACCACTGTAGATCTTCCTGGCTCTGAGTTTCGGGCACTTCTTTAAGAGACCTGAGTCAGAGGAGATTCTGAGAAGCAGCAAATGTCAGTGCCTCTCCCCAAGCAAAAGGTGAATGACGAGCCATTGGGTCTGGAAGACAAGAATGGAAGCCCACAGATCTGCAGTGGTTGGTTAGACAGGCCTTATAAGGTCCTGCTTCATTTTAAGTGTTAAGGAGGAAAAAAAGCCAAAAATCATCCAGCTGAATCTTTCCATTTGGTTTCACCCATCACTTTCGTGGCAGGGCTGTGAAGCGGAGCTGGAGTCTGGGCTGCAGAGCGTCATCAGCTATGCTATGCTTGTAATTCTGGGGTTTGCCATTGTAAAGGTAAATGTTTTCTCTCTTTCCTGATGGAAAATAATACTGTTTATCCTTTGATCATGGGGCTTTTTCTTCTACCATGTCCTCTTAGCCTACAACCGTTTTCTGGCTCTGAAGTAGACTCAGTCCTTTGTTCCTCGCTTGTTTTCTTCCAACTTTTTCCATTTTGTCTTCATGATGATAAGGGGAGGGATCTAAAAAAGGTAGTAGGGAATTTGGGATGGCAAGGCAACAGAGAAACCATCTTGGTTATTTGGTAGGAAGTACAAAAGGCTGGGTGTGCTAAAAGGCCTGGATCTAGAATTCTTTATTGAAACAACCCATTTTTCTATATTTAACTAGGATTTAAAAACCAGCTCATCAAAGTTTGTTTTTAGATACAACCCTGTCCTAGTTTTCAGCTAGGACTAACCCTAGTCCTGTGCTTGGAGTCCAGGAATCAAAACAGGCTAGAAATATGACTAGGAATGAAATAGAATTTATTTATAGAATCATGAGGTTGAATTAAATGAAATAGGAAAAGAGAGAATCTTGTGGGTGAACACTAGATGTGAAAAGCCCTGATGTAAGCCTCCTCGCAACTGGCACATCAAAGAAATGCCTACGCAACTCCAAAGATTTGACCCATAAATTTTAGCCTGGTGGTTTGTCATTGTTCCCACTACCTGTTCTCTAAGATGAGTAACCTGTTCCTTGTTTGGACGGAGATTTGAACCAGGTAATAGTTCAGAAAAACACAGCAAAGTGTTTTTTCTTTCACTATCTGCTCTCTATATGAGAGATGAGTTCTACACTCCCATGACGTGTCCCGTTACTCTTTGTGATGAACCCTCCCATCACGATATCTCCTGTCATCATCTCCAAAGATTGCTTTGGCATATTCTGCACTACCTTTATTCACATATTTTTGACACTTAAATATTTTTCAGAACTCATTTTAGGTCCAGAATCATCCCATGCTTTGACTGAAATTTTTCCCACAGTAAGATAACTAGGGAGGTGATTCTCCTCCTCTACTCCACTCTCGTAAGGCCCCACCTGGAATACTGCATCCAGTTCTGGAGCCCCCATCACAAGAGAGACCTGGAGCAGCTAGAACAAGTCCAGAGGAGGCCACCAGGATGATGCGAGGGCTGGAGCAGCTCTGCTGTGAGGACAGGCTGAGAGAGTTGGGGCTGTTCAGCCTGGAGAAGAGAAGGCTCCGGGGAGACCTTCTAGTGGCCTCCCAGTACCTGAAGGGGCTCCAAGAAAGCTGGGGAAGGACTTTTCATTAGGGCAGTTAATGACAAAACAAGGGGAAATGGGTTTAAGCTGAAAGAGGGGAGGTTTAGATTAGATATTAGGAAGAAATTCTTTGGTTCTTCACTGTGAGGGTGGTGAGACACTGGAACAGGTTGGCCAGAGAAGCTGTGGCTGCTCCTCCCTGGAAGTGTTCTCGGCCAGGCTGGATGAGGCTTTGAGCAACCTGGTCTAGTGGAAGGTGTCCCTGCTGCTGGCAGGGGGGTTGGAACTGGATGAGCTTTAAGGTCCCTTCCAACCCAAACCAGTCTGTGATTCTATGAACTAGGAATTAATGTGGATGTGTGAATTAATGCGAATGTGGAAATTAATGGGAGAAACCAGGGAGGGGAAAAATTGAAATTGGAAATTGATATGCAAAAAAACCCCCACCTTTCTGTAGATATATTTTCTAAGTGTTTTTTAAATACAAAACGAATGTCCTTGCTTTAATGAAAAAGTCTGATGAACATACAGATGTTGGGCCTGATGACTGACACAAAAGACAGCAGAACTAAATCTCTCTCCTTCTCTCTCTTTTTCAGTTCTTCGGCATGCTGAGTGTCTGCGTGCTTACGTGCAAGAGAGAAGACAGTGGATACCAGCCTCTTTACTCGGGGGTGTTTGCTTAATAAAACTCAAAGATCACTTTTTTTTTTTTTTGCTTCTTGATGATAAAATAGACTTGTAAAGCTGAACGCTACAAGACAATTTATGACCTTCTTGCTAAATGTTTGATTTTATGTACGAGTGCTAGCCAAGTGAAACCACCCCCACGTGAAACAGAAAGAACATTGTGTGTTGACTTGGGGAAAGCTTCTTGCAGATGATGTGAAACGGCAATTTCAGTATTCAAGGCCCTACAGTAACATACCCTGATCTTGCACACCACAGCTTTCCATAAGGTTATTGTAGATTTGGATTTGTAACTTTACATGGTGTAATGGATTCCCAGAAAAAAAAACAAAAACAAAAACAAAAACTTACTTAACGCAGTTCTTTGCCCTTGAAACGTTATTTTTAATCACTAAACTGATAGAGATCGCAGGAGGGGTTTCAGTTGTCTGCACAAACATCAGATCATTCCCATGGCAGAAGAAACTTTTGAATGCCAGGTTCAAATATTCTGCATAAGCATGAGGAGTTAGAATATGTTTTCTCTAGATCTGGTGGTGTTTCTATTTTTTTTTAATTTTGTTTTTCCTCTTAGGGTCATACGTTGGTAATTCAGTTTACTGCAGAGGTTGCTAGTACAAGACAACCTCATGTTTAAAGTCTAGAACAGACATTTGAGTTGTTTTTTGAAGCAGCTGGCAAATGTGAACAATCCCAGCTGAGGAGGAGATGTGTGTTTTGAGCTTTGGGGCTTGCTACGTCTCTCTCTGGCTTGGGCTTTTTTTGTTGTGTTTTGTTTTTTTTTTTAATATTATTATTTGACATTAAAAATTGCTTGTGAAGCAGGCTTTTGACATTTTTTTTCTCCTTTTACTGACTTTTTTTGTGTGTGTCTAGAAGACAGACTATGTATTTCTGTTTAATATAGAAGTTGCAAGTTATTGAGATGAATACAGGCTGGAAGATGGGTGTTGCAGGACATGTTGGCTCAGAGTGGTTGTGTAGACAGGATGGAGGGGTTTGTGCAATCATCCCTGCATCACTGAAGCTTTGACTGCTCTTCACCGCTAAAAATGTTAAGACGATGCATTCCTGTACCAAGCAATTTCAATAACTTACTGTCTGGCAGGGTCGTGTGACTCCTTGTTTGCTCATTTTCCTTTATTTCCTTAAAGATCTGCTGAATGCACTCACTTCTTGGATTGCATCACTGCTTTAAAAATGGTCCTTCCTTAACAGATTTGAGTGTTCATCTGCTTGTCAGTTCTTCAGGGTTTTGTTGGTTGTTTTTAGAGCTGTGATGTGGGGAGGGAGGGAACTCTGAGCTTTTCTTTATTAGGGAATTGTGGAAAAGCTTATTTTTTGTTCTTTGGAGAGATAAGCACTGTGTCCTTAGCAATAAACCTTTATGTCTGTAATTCATTAGAAGGAATTTGGAGTAAATGTAAACTGGTCTTTCCCCCCATGCGCCCCCCAGAAAAAAAAGCAATGGGTGATGATGACCTATAGGAGACATACCAGTGTCACAGAATCCCAGAATTGCCCAGACTGG